TGCCGGCACACTAATACCTGATGTTAAAAGGGATGCTCACCATGATATTTCCAGTACTGCTCATATAGAATATACACTTAGACACCTAGACAGTAGACTAACTGCCGGCACACTAAATACTGATGTTAAAAGGGATGCTCACCATGATATTTCCAGTACTGCCCATATAGAATATACACTTAGACACCTAGACATGAGACTAACTGCCGGCACACTAAATACCTGCTAATCTATATAGCATGTTACATAGGGATGGTCCACCAAGATTCAAGATGTTACAAATACGGGAGCAAAATATGATAGACTATGTCCTTGCTCTGAATCTAACTGCAACCCTATCCCTACAAGCAGTTATTAAGTCTCAGCAGGCGAGACATAACATGGTATTAACGTGCCCATCGACAAGGAAATCACGATCTGTAAGTTAGATCATAATATTACGAGACTGCACTGTGTCGAATGTTAACTCATTTTGTGGATCAGTGATCACAAACAGCTATTTATGCTCCACGATTTGGACTATTTAGCTAAAGGACTTTAAGTAAGAAACTGATTATTGAAGACTGTAATAACTAAACTTATGAAACTTACCACAGTGAGCAGGAGAGAAGAGTAGGTGAAGCGTCAATAGGAGAAATATTGACATTTCTCTGTAGAAATAATTATTTATTAGCTATAATATCACTCATCAGTTGCAGTGGCTAATCTGGCTATGGCTAGGGTAAATAATTCTTCAAGCAGTACTCGAATGTAGCTTTTAAATAGTGTCTTAAAGACACTATTTCTTAGCTAAACTGATTAGGCAATCATCGTTTAATAAGGAGGAAAATCATGAATAATAAATGTTAGCAAATTGCGGGACGGTTTTTTCAAAGTACCTCAAGAATAAATTACTATTAGACAGGCAAATTAGGTTTCTTTCTTCCTTTCAAAATGCTTTATCAATTATCATTCAGGATGCTTCCCTTTAACGATAATTGGCTGATCAGTTTGATAAATTGCACTACTAGAGTCCACCAACTTCTTGAAGACGCCTTTAGTCTTTACCAGTGGTTAGGGGTGCTGATTATTCGGTTATTTTAACGACATAACGGACATTTTAAGTTTATGTACAGTTTACACTTGACACACGGGTAACACACGGGTAACCTTGTATACGAGTCATGCCTATTAATATTATCTTAATTAAAGTACATCATGACTCATGAGCCATGGCATCGATTTAGATTTAAATTTATTTTACACTTCAATGGTTTCTAAATATTCGTTGAATGATATGCTTTACGTCAATAAATGCATACCAAGCATGGTAAACCAACAATTATGATATCCCTTAAAAAATAAAGCTCTCACTTAATAAACTTATGACTGTTATAATTTACTAGCAGGATACCGTCTAACCCTTAAGTGGCGTCAAGACTCACTTTAGGGTTAGACGGATTAGGTAATACTCGTCCAGGGTCATTGAGAAGCTATTGATGGAATTAGTAGTTACCATAGTTACCATATTTAACATGAAATCATGCATTTCTTCTTTTACGGCCAGGTAGCGCAGTTGGTTAGAACGCCATCTTTGCAAATCGTAAGGTTGCGAGTTCGAATCCCGCTGTCTGCCTGGTCGTGGGGTGAGCGTCGTTGACGTTCAGCTAATGATCCTGAGTGGTCTATGCAGCCCCCGGTCTACTCAGCCGAATACTCGAGAAATCGGGTGTGAGGGTTAAATGAGGAGCTGCACAGTGCACAGTGCACATTGCAGCAAAGTCTCGGGCGAAGAAAGTATGGTACACACTACCTTAACCGTCACTGGCCAAATAAATCCTTCGGCTTCCTGTAATTGGCTGGTTGCACTTGTGTAACAATGTGGCTGTTGGAATACACCGAAGTAAAATAAGTGTCTTGATTAAAAAAATACTATTGAGAATATCTGGTGAGTTTGCCATAACGTAAAAAACACATCAGTCCTAGATGATATGTTTTTTATTTCTGACAGCACCATTAATTTAACTTTACAGCTACTTAAAGATCTAAAATCCTCCCTGAACTTACCTATTTTCCTACAATTGGGAACTTCTCCTCCAAATATCATGAGATCTCCGTCCCTGCAGTACACTTGCTTCACCCCAAAGTTTACATACTTCCGTGGGCAGACAATGTTTACTTTAGTATCATGTGATACTGGTAGTGGAGGGACTGTTTCTTTATTGGTCCAGTCTTGATCCACTTCGTTACAATCTCCTGAAATTACTGCGCTATTATATCAGCTTAACGTATATATACTATATATAGTACCTGATATAAGTTACTTTATCTGGTACTATATATTATTGTCTTTTGATAGCAATAATTTCGGACGATCGCATATTTATATAACGCTTAAATCACTTGAAAAGTTAGTGTTCCTATTTTGGAATTCATAACTTACTCGGGCCTGGTACAACTATTTTAGCAGAGGGAACTACATCAGGATCACTGTCCATCTGAAACTGACAGGTGAACTCTCCAGCATCCTTCAGATCCGGATGGAACTTCTTTAAGATCGCTTTCTTTCCTTCTAGTTGGAGCTCAAAGTTGTTGTCTGTTTCCTCGCTGATGTCCTGTGATTCTAACTGATCGGGAGTGTTATGATACCACTTTACTGAAGATGGGGTTTCTTTTCCGATGACGTTGCAAGTTATCTCGAAATTAGAATCTTTCTGTTCGTATAGAGTATCCAAGAAAATCTCGACCACTGAAAATATAGGTCTTATCAAATAAAGATAATTTAAAGTTAAGTTGGTCAGCAAAATCATAAATTATTATTCCCAGTGAACCGTATTTAAACACCTTTCACACCTGGAGGCCACGTTTTTCTAGTCTGCTAAATAATGCCAAGATTGAAAGTTACTAAAAATAGTGCTGTACCTGGTGAACATGTTGTTATATCGTACACATCTTGAGCCCAGCTCCCTCCAACTCCATTCTTGCAGTTGTCAGCTCTCTCATACGTCTTATACGTCTCCCAAGCATCAGCAGCCGTGAAACACTGTTTTTTAGCCTGCGTTGCAAATACTGCGTAGCCTTTAACAGCTGCGCGATAATGGCATTTGTTTATAACGTCGTCTGTGAAAGAAACCATTTCTTCCTTGATTGCACGATTCTCATTATCTTTCCAGCACCCCAGATGTTTTCGACAATCTTCTGAGAATACCACGCTATTTTTAGAAAGAAATAACATAACTGGAAATTTGTAGTGAATTTCATTGAACTGATAAGAAGATAGAAATAGAAAAAACCCTCATTGAACTCACCGTTAGCGTTAGCTTGCACAGAGCTGAAGAAACAGATAGCTGTGAAGAGAAACATCTTCTTATCCATGTTGCATTTTATAACTAATCCTGCATCTATAATTTAGTATTATAAAACAGTAAAATACTCAAAATAAGTATTTTTAATGGACGGTTATTTGTCGGTGGACACGTCTTTTTAAGGCACGGATAACACACAAGGGTTACCTACTTTAAACGCACAGACACTCAAAGCACAGCTGACGGTTAAGCAACATCTTCAAGTTTCAGGGTATCTACTTAGGATCATTTTGAGGAGATATCTAGAGCCGGAATTTTAAGATAGGCCTTTAATAAAGATTTTTATTCGATTTAAAAAATCTTGGACCTCTAAAAATCGTCAAAAAAATCGTCGCTGTGCCTTGCTCAACTTTATAGTAGAGTGTGTTCAAATAATAAAACCAAAGACCCGGCTCTCTCAGACTCTCTCAAGGTCGTGATGACGCTCTGACCGAGGGTATTGTCCATTGCTTTTTTAATGGCTTTGTTTTAATCCTCAGTACCTTACAAGACATTTTTGTGGCGGACCAATTTGCGACGACCGAAATTTTGGCGGTCCGAAAATATGGCGAAATTGAAAAAAACCGTCACATTTCGGACGTCACAGAAAATAAGGGTATTTTTCATCATTTTGTTTTCTGACACAAAGGAAATTCAAAATTTTCTAAAAATCGGTAAAATCATGTTGAAACAAAATGAAACTTATAAATCGATTTCTTCATCTTCCCCTAAGGGGTCCGGATCGACTCTTTCAGTTTCACTTATTGAGTTTGGTATTAAATTGTTTATCTTGACTTAGTCTCTTATAAGACGTTTCTGTTAGCACATAAATATAATTTATTGTAAATTTAAAACGTATTACTTGACATTAAATTCATCATGGAATATTGTGTTTATTTGTCCCACCATCATATCACTAACTTTTCAAGAACAACATGAATCGATGAAGCCACAATTATTGGAATAAGCTAAAAATAATGCGACGGATTCTATTACGACGACCGAAATTTTGGCGGTCCGAAAATATGGCGAAATTTCGGGAAAACCGTCGCATTTCGTACGTTATAAAAATGTCTTGTAAGGTATATGGGGAGTTAACAACAGGTTTTCTCTCCACAACAAAGCAGGAACCCTCAGCTTGCAATGCTCATGAATAAAGCTTTGTTTTTCATAAGTCTGGGAACCTGCTTTCTTTGTGCTAAGTTCTAGATAATGTAGATTGTGAAAACGGGGAGCTTGCTGTCAAGGTCTAAAATACTATTTTAGTGAAATACGTGAACGACCCCTTAGAGCCATGTGAACCATGTTTTTACATCACCTAACCCTACTTAGCTTCTCATTTACTGTCTTCGTAAGGGTTGTGGCCAAGATGTCCACTAAAGATTGAAGCATCTGGTAGAAATTCAGTAAGTGGAATGAAAAATGCTCAAAACAAGTAAATTCTAAATGTATCGGAGGAATCCGCTATGTACGAGCAACAAAACACTAAAAAATACTCAAAAATTTATAAAAAGTGATTAATATAAAATACATATTTGTTCGCTGTTCAGCTCTGAATTTTTCTGTCGAATCTTATTGACGTATTTGTTAAATGAATTTAATAAATTCATAATACTAACATTTCCCAGAGCAAATTCTCAAACATATTTTAAATATTCTAACCCTAATTTATTTCAGATTGGTGTACTAAGTAACAGTTAGCCTCGTTCTCTCCGACAAGATCTCTCTCTAGCACGTGACAAGTTCGCACGTGACAAGTTAGCACGTGACAAGTTCACACGTGACAAGTTCGCACGTGACAAGTTCACACGTGACAAATCACAGGATATTAACAGACTTGATTCAGCAAGGGCTCTAAGAGTCCCGAACTATCCGATTTCTTCGAGAGTATAAAAAGTTGTTTGTAATTTATTGATTTTTAAAACGAAGGTGACTTGATGTTATACTGCAGCTGAAGGAAGTGTGTTTTGATAATTATGTTTTTAATATAATTATGTATGTGGGTTAATTCTCTTGTCATCTGAAGATTGGTATGGAATGTTGGATTTATAGTCTGGGTGTAAGGTTATTAAAGTAATTATGTTTATTAAGTCAATTAAGATTATTAGAGTGTGAGTCTATATTATTCGAGTAAAATCTAATCTTTGTTCTTTGAATAATGATCTTAATAAAAAAGAGAACTAACGCCTCTTGAATCCCTTTTACCATGGATGCAGTAAGGTTCTACTGCCGTAGTACATACATATAACTATAACGCTATGACAATTGTCTAACATTGACTAGTTTAATGAGGCTGAAGATTGTTTTAGAATTACTGCAGATGTTAGACTTGACAGTGTTTAGGTTTGTTAGTTGTTGAGAATGAGATATATACATACATATATATACATATATAATACTATAATAATAGTTGATTTCATAAAATAAAAGCAGAAGTTGAAGCTTGCAAAAGTGGCGTTCCAAATTGTACACTGTACAATTTGTACAATGTACAGCTCGTTCAAATACATTTTCTACATTCAAGACGTAATTTCTACTCAATTGAAAGATGTAAGAATTAGTAGCAATTTGTTTTATTGGATCACTCTCAAATAACAGAGATTTTAGTGCGTTTACGACAGGATTTTTGCTGGTGATACTTGAAACACAATCTGATGAGGTTTTTCTAATTTTTCAGTTCTTTGTTACCTAAATACTAAACGAAGTATATTGAAGTTGAGAAGTATGAGTTTTTGTAAGGGACTGCGTTTTGTAAATTTAACTTTTGTGGCAGTTATTGTAACTTTGATTTTATCTAGATTCGAGGAATACGCTTTGAAACGTCACAAATCAAATTGTTAAAGTTTAACAATATTTTACGGTGAATTACAGTATGATTTTATTTTATATTTGGAGCGAAAATGAAAGTTTAGCGTGGTTTCAAGACCATGTTTACGCTATTATACTGTGGTCCAATAACCTTGGGCCTAGGTCACAGCTAGCTGTGGCCGTGGTACTGTTACCGTGGTAACAGCTAGCTGTGGCCGTGGTACTGTTACCGTGGTAACAGCTAGCTGTGTTACCGTGGTACTGTTACCGTGGTAACAGCTAGCTGTGGCCGTGGTACTGTTACCGTGGACCCGGTATTAATCAGAAAATAGCAAAACGCTAAATAAAACTGCGTTACACGTGCATTATAAAATGTAAACGTAGTTATATAGGAGTATTTAGTATTAGAGATTGTGTACATATTATTATGTTATCAGAATCTTGTCGTCCTTATCAGTTATCCACCCCGTTCTTGTCGGTAACAGTCAGAACATAATATCTGATTACATCAGAACTCTGGAAAAGCTACTTAAAGATGCTTAATTAATATGTTCACGATGCCAAAATCGTTGATTGAAATCACTCGATTTTTAATATTTTTGATAATGAAAATGGACATCTATAATGACCGATGCCTGCTCGATGATTATTCCTGATTGCTGCTCATGAATATATGTAATATTATGAAAGAAAAACAATGCATGAAATTTCGTGTACGTAGTAAAAAAATCTAATTAAAAAATCATATTGCCAGGATATTCTTCTGATCTGAATCCTAATTTCTTAGATTTTTTGTGACAATTCATCCAAAGGTTGTCTGTGTTATGACAGAAATTTAAGTTAATATATCGGTGTTTTATTTTGTCTGTTTTAATACTTTCAACACTACTATATAACAAATTATTTGAGTGACAGGATGGATTACTGAGGGGCACTGTGTTAAGGTGATTTAAGTGGGTCCCAATCCCCACCGACCATTCTTCTTTGTGTCATGCCTATGTTCCTGAATACTTGCTTCATCATCTCCTTTTTATAACAACCACGGTGTCTTTATCGACTATTGCGCATTACAATATATGCTACCGTGCAATACAGGGTGTTTCAAAAATAATGTCCTGATTTTAAAAAACAATAAAATCTTACTTATAATTCAGAGAATTATCTCTTTTACTTTTATATTATATTACACTTTTACATTCGTTGCTAAATTGTAGCTCTCTTATCAGTAGTTCTGTGTGCGCGTTGAATTATCTCGCTGGCTTTGTAGATTTGTATACATTGTTTGTACATTTTCTGTACAACGTGTACGATGCCTCTTCCGCTACAGAATGAACATATGGATATATTAGATGATGATATGGTCGTGAATGGCCAGTTTCTTACGGAATATGTGAATCAGATACACATGGCGACTGAAAGTATTTTCAAGGAGATTAGAAGTAAAATCGGAGTTGAACACAACGATGATGTGCGGTTTGATAAACTGAACCAGAGAAGTGTGCCTAGAGAAAGGTTATCAGAATGGTTAGAGACAGTTTGCTGTTTGCTGAACGATTTTTGTGGTCCATTGTTACGATCCGCCACAGAAACAGCTAACGACAACAGAATGTTCAGGAAAGAAAAAATAGAAGATGCGACTAAAATCATAGAACTACAAGAGAAGTTGCTCTCTAAGCAAGAAGAAGATATGGCTAAAATCAGTGATTTGCAGGAGAAGTTAGCTTTGAAGAAGGATGATGAGATTGGAACTGTGAAAAGTGCAGCTCAGAAAGAGATCAAAACCTTTTCGTCTCTTTTGAAAAACACATGCAAAAACGCCTTTGCACCGAAGAAGATCCAAGCTGCGGTGAAAAGAATTTCCCTAGAAGAAGATCGAAGTAAAAGTCTGATTATCTTTGGGCTTCCAGAGACTGAGGAGAACCTGGATGCTAAGGTATCTGGTATTTTGTTGGACCATCTCAACGAAAAACCGAAAATTTTGAGATGTAAACGAGTTGGAAAGGACACTAGTGAACGAGTCAGACCAGTGAAATTCATTTTGTCAAGCTCAGATCAAGCTCGAACCATCTTGAGCAAGACTAAGCTACTAAGACATGTAGACGGGTTTAGTTCAGTTTACATTACTCCAGATAGATCAGCTGCAGACAGGATGGCCTACAAGAAAGTTGTCGACCAACTACTCAATAAAAGGACAGCAGAGCCTGACAAAGTTCATGTTATCAGGAACTTTAGAGTCATTAGCTCGGAGAAGGAGCCTTTAGAGTGATATATTTTCTATAAGTACAATATTATATGTTTTAATTCATTGATTAATTAATTTTTTGCTAGGGCCCAATGTTATTGCGGGTGTGGTATTTCTTACTGCACACTACTGTGTTTTGGTCACCCCTCTTTCAATACATAATTTGGGTTTCATACTGGGATAGTGGATATTAGGGCTATATCGGTTTTCTCCTTTTATAACTGGGTTTATTTAGAAGCATTCAATTCTGTATAATTATGTATTGTTTGAAAAGATTTAGATTAAAAAAAAATCTTTGTCGTCTGTACGACCGCCCACGTGCAAATCAAACGAAAAATATGAACTTGCGTAGTAACCATAGTAACGAGGATTGTTACACGCACGTGCAATGATTGTTTTAACGTCATTTTAATCGGTTTTGTTGATATTACGCTGTGTTTAGTACGAGTAACATTTTGTTTGGCCGTATCTTCGGTGGGGATGAATACTTTTTGACACGATTAAAACTGACTTCCAAAGAATACTATTAGTATTAGGTTCCACCCTGTGACCACGGGTTTTCTAGTCTTACTTATAATTCAGAGAATTATCTTTGTACACTGTCATGTACGACAGCTCACGTGCAAATAGATTGCACGTGCAATGATTGTTTTACTTTTAACATCATTTTGATCGGTTTTGTGGTAATATAATTAGGTACGTTGTGTTCAGTGCAAGCTACATTTTAATGGGCTGTATACTTGACCATTGTTAATGATCTGGCCCGGCGCGCGCTACTTTGTACTTCGTAGCATGGCACGTGCCATCTTACCTGGGGACCTCAGGCTATTATGTTTATAAACATAATAGAGATTCGGCGGAATGACAGGCTGAGCGCGGCCCAGTAATATAAGTGCCATCTCGAGAAGAAAGCGGCGCGCGCTACTTCGAAGAAATTTAGACGAGTAACATCCGTCAACTGTATACTCGATTATGACGGATATTTTTTGATGCTATAAAAACCTTAACGGGTGATAGTGTAAAATATCTGTTCCAATTATTAGGACCGTCGACGAGTCCAACTCGGCGCGCGTCCTGCCGTCCTGGTAGGTTGTAAACATACAATAAAAACCTACTAGCTTCATCTCTGTTACCACCAACCACGGGCTTTTTATTAACGGGTGATACTCTTAAAATATTTGTTCCAATTATTAGGACCGTCGACGAGTCCAATGCAACTCGGCGCGCGTCCTGGTAGGTTTTAAACCTACAACATGCAAGCTTTCTACTCCTATATTATAATTCGAAAGATTCTTTTTGTATGTACGACAGTCCACGTGCAAATTAGATGAGAAATGGGAAGCTAGTTAAATGGTAACCATGGTAACGGTGTTGGAACGCGAACGTGCACGTGCATAAATTTGGATTTATGCAGCCCCCTACTCGATCCTAGCCCCCCCTGGCTAAGTGCCTGTTTGTATGACGGGATTTTTTTTGATGCGATAATAAAAACTGACCATCAAAAACACAAAAAAAAAGGCAAAAATACTACTACTATTATCCTTGACGAATATACTTATAGAATGTTACTCGTCTAAATTTCTTCGAAGTAGCGCGCGCCGGGTCAGATCATTAACAATGGTCAACTATTATCCTCCTCCCTGTGACCCCGGCCTTTCATTAATTATATAATATAAAACATTTAATGACAGATACAAAAAACCGTCCTCAGACCTCTATGAGTATGGGTGCTAATAGACATTTTGACCTATAAGTGCTATTTGGATTTCTCTCTGATAAACTAAAAGCAAACGAACTGTTCAATTAAGTGAAACAGTGACAATAGCATTGCCATTAGCTGTAAAAGTATGGAACGGGACAGCCTAATTGCTCACGAGATTTACCGAATTGCTGTTCTATTTTTATTCCATTTCCTTGTAGCGCGAGCGCTTATTGTTCACTCATTGTTTTATAAGGGATTATGTGATTAAAGGGGGAAGCCGAGAATCTTTGCTTGGGCAACAGGAATTTATTAAGGTGTATGGCATCGCAACTAGGTAATTTTCTTGTAAAGTTGTAAGAGAGCAATTATGTAACTGAATGTTGGACACAGTAAAAGCTGTAAAAGGTTAGGAATATTATGTTCTGCAAGGTTGGCATTGTCAATCAATCAATTATTATCCATGATGCTCCCACTCAAACGATAATATTGTCTCTAATATTGCTTGATTATCATTAAGGGCAAGGCGTGTTTAGAAAGGTCTTACCAGTTTACCAGTACTTATGGGTGCTTGTGATTCGGTAATTTAACGATACTTTAAGTTTATGCACCGTACACATTTAATAACGCACGGATAACACACGGGTAAACTAGTTATTACATATTATTATTATTGACAGAGGAGTGCTTCGTTTTTTTTTCAGGCATTTATCAGCTATTTTGCGTAAGTGCGCGGTCACGTGATCATGTGAAAGATTGGACTGACATAAGGCAAATATATCTATTGCAGTTTGGAGATATGATGAAGTAGTCAACATGACAGGGCTGGCTCCACTTTTTTTTGTATACATCGCCAAACATTAACAAGTCACGTAGTGTTCGTCCATTTAGTACGTGAATCTGATTTTTAATAAGTATGTCCAAAAAGGGTCTCTTATAACTGTTCGTACTTTATTCCCTAGAGTTTCTAGTTGGCAGGTCATGGGGAATGTAGTCGTCAGGCTCAGGTTGTCCTCTTTAATGAAGTCAATTTGTTGCGGTGTTTAATGAAGTCAATACGTGCATTAAACACCGCAACTTATGACGTTTCCTTTGCGAAGTAACTTGTTGACAAATTGGTCCAATTCTCTCAGGGTATCGAAACCAGTGACATCGGAATTTTTGTGACAAGTGACAACCTATGTGGGTGTCAGGCAACGGGTCACATTTTTATCCACGCCATTTGTTATTTGTAGGAAACTTCCGCCCTTGTGACTTCCGTCAAAATGTCTTATACCCAATTTAATTATAATACAGGGCATGAAAATGCTGCCTTCCATGAGTTATGAGCGAAAAAGCTAATTTGATCTCGTGACACGCCAAAATAAGTAAGTTGTTATACAGGGTGAGAATCCCTGCCACGTTTTTGGTCAGCTTCGCCGGGGCTCATGTCTTTCCTCGAGGGAGCATTAGTGTCTACAGAAAAACTGACAAATCCTAGCGAAGTCCAATCCGAACCACATCTTCCACCAGAGGTGGTGCTGGGTCAGCTGGTTACTGAACGGGTTGGCCTGGAGAAAAGCATAGTCCTGTTATTCTAAAGTTAACCATAGAGGGGGTCAGGCGCTGTTCGCTCACGGCTGGTTCTTGGAGCCAACACCCTCGGCCCCACAGAAGTGGGAGCACTGTCGGTGGTGGCACACCCAGATAACGGACAGCGTCTCTCCTTCTTTCTTCTTGGACTTGCATTGTGCTGGTGAGTCAGCTGGCAACAGTGTACCATACTTTCATATTCTTGTTTTCTTCCCCACTTCTCCTACACCTCACTTTATTACTCACTCATTCACTCACATGCCGCCTTAGGGCCGCTACCAGTTAGAGGGGATCTAACAATCAGACAAACTGCCAGCCTTAGGGCCGCTACCAGTTAGAGGGGATCTAACAATCAGACAAACTGCCAGCTATTGGAGATATAGCACTTAGATTATTACCAGCAAACGTAAAATTAGCAATAATTACGTGAACAAAGAAATTGCCAAATTGCGACAAAAAAGGGTCTACTCAAAATTCAAATATCGCATGTAAATTCGTGAATCAGCACCTTAGTATAGCGCGGAAATTGAGCCGCGCAAAGACAAAGATATAACACAAAAACAACAAAGATATGGGTGAATTCCATCGGAGGCTCAGGCATGCCTGGTAGGTTCCTGTCAGCCCACTAGAATGACAGGGGGCAGCCTGTTCTATCGAGTACCCGGGAGAACATCCAGGCATGGGTGGTGTTCTCCCGTGAACGAGCATTATGACAGTTTCCCTTACGGGAAACGTCGCTCACCAGGCTTTATCCTCTGGAGGGGCGGGATCACTAGCCCATGCCAAGTGACCCAAACCTACTGACACCTACAACCAGAGGAACCCCAATAGACGTTAGTCACTAACTGACGGACGTAGCCTCCCAATAGGGAGGTAAAGTGGGTGCCCCAACATAAAAAAAAAAAAAGAAAAAAAAAAGTAAGTTGTTATAATTATATGTAATTCATCACTTAGGGGTTTGGGTTTTGGCAGATGTTGAAGTTGTAGAGTCAGAGTAGAGGTTCCTTGGATTGATAGCCACATTATCGGGAACATTATAAAGCTAGTAAAATGGAAACGAGTGTAGAGTGATCAATAATCATCCAATTTTGAGTCTGACGCCGCGCAATTATCCGACACAGGAGGACTATAGTGCAAAGAAACTGCTGCTGACTGCTGCAAATGGCGCGCGCGCGACAGCAGCAGTTAGCATCAGTTAGCAGCAGTTTCTTTGCACTATAGTCCTCCTGTGCCGAACATGATGGTGTAAAAATGAGCACAGTTTCTGGAAGTAACCATGACAACTAGAAGTAATTATCAGAAAATTAAAATTTAACATTATTACATTAACTTTACAATAAGATATAATAACAATTATTAGACGATGTAAATACACAATCAGCAAGCAATCAAAATAGCACGCTCTCCACTCCGCAAGCAATCAAAATAGCACACTCACCACTCCAGTAAATATTCTATAACATGCCATCTTTAAATACAGTCATTAAAATTACAACAGCTAAATCATCCACCAATCCACTCAGATAGCTCATATTTTGTGATATTAATAATTAAGATAAAATTTGGCGTCAACGTGTTTTGATTCTCCCCAAATTTAATTTCCTGTACCTGAAAACGCCGAATACCATAACTAGCACAAATAACTATTATAAGGTTAATCGAACATACAACGACAACTAAAATCTATTCTAGATGTTAAATAATTTAATTTCGTAGAACTTTAAATCGACCACAGGCCTTTATCATTACATGGTGCAATATAACATATTTCAACAAAATCGTGGAAATAACCGAACTTGACTGAAATGTAGTCGAGGTAGAAGTTAGCTAGTGAGTAAGGATAATAGTTATCATAATATATTTGGTCGTTGCAAGTCTCTTTCCAAATAAATGGTTGTAATACTGTGAAGAAATAGAGCTTATTATATGGGTTTAAACTAGCTGCACCCAGAAAAATGTTAACAAGCCAGTTGTTCACACTTTAACGAAATCTCTTTTGAAAAGACTAACAATATCACGTGGTTTAGAACTAACATATGATAACGTTTAAACGGAGTATCATTGTGCAGTCCTGAGACCCTCGTCTGTTTGAGATGTGTTCCTCCGCAGAACTTACAAAATAAAGCTCCATTATTTAGTTGTTGGTCTTTTCAAATCCTGTTAAATGTTTGCTTTAGTTGTAATCACATTTGGAGATGTGAAAGGGCAGAAATAGTAAATTATCAACTGGTTAAACAATTGGAGGCACCGCTGCCAAAACTTTAAACAAATAAAACCACTTTACCTACTGAGGCTTATCTTCGTTTAGAAGTTATACTGAAAGCGCAAATGTTCAAATGATCGCACAAATCATTCACCTGAAATGTCTATTATTATCATTCACAGCAGAAATACCTGACATCATATTCAGGAATGGGGATAATGAATTGTCATAATGCAAAAAAAAGGAATTTAGTACTTTGTTATTCTCAAATCCTCAATTCAATAACTAATTGGTGATGTTTGACTCGTTCTACCCCTCCTCACGTGTAAGTGTAACCATGGTTACAGTAAGTGTAACCATGGTTACAGTAAGTGTAACCATGGTTACAGTAAGTGTAACCATGGTTACATTAAGTGTAAAATAACAAAACTACTCACCACAACGTAGCAGTAGTGTGTGAAGGAGAACATGGAGAACACACTGTATAAAGTGATGATGGTAGCTGGAGCTATCTGCAGAACCACCGCTAGGAACCAAGCTAAGAAGAGTGGGATAATGGGAGGTTCTATCAGCTCACATCGAGTGTGGCTCATCTGATTAATCATCAGTCTGCACTGAAATGTAAATCAAATGTTAGCAAGTTATACTTTTATTTTTATCGTCATCGCTTATTTAAAGTGATAGTGTTAAAAATGACAAGATAAAGTCCTCACGCTCTGTAACAGATATAACGTTACATGAGCCATAACCCACTATCTCACTATATACGGTAAGTTCACAACAAACTTACCACGATGTTGGAGAAGGTGAACCCGTACGCAATAGTCCAAACTCTGGGGTTGCTCAGATAGTCCTCTTGGCAGAAGTAGGGGAAGGTAAGACACAAAAAGTTAAACAATATGTACGACACCCAGGGTCGCATCATCTCCCCAAATGAGTTATACCTGTTAGTTCCAGACTGATACGACCTGCAAAGTTTATAAGTTTATAAGATAGATGAGAGGTAATGTCGTATTAGCATTCTCTGCCTATCAGCAATTAATAAATTGTTCTATAAGTCGTTTATTTCGTTAGCAAATCGCATAGACAGGAATGAGGGCAAAGGGTTCTGTATTATGTTAACAGACTAATGTTCATCGTATCTGCTCCATTGTTGGATAGTACATAATCACGCCGCTAACATAGTATCACCTATCATACGTTCGACAGTAAATGAAGGCCGATACTTCAAATGAGCTGATAATGATAACTTTAGAAAGATAATTTCTTCGTCGAATCTAATCGATACCAAAATTATATTGTCGTGCGCGCGGAAGATACACCAAATATTTTGGCGCGCCATCCAGCTATATTTTAGAGTAGACCTCTTTTCCGCAAGGAATCTAATTGTTGTATTGTCCGCACCGAGAGCACGCTAAGATGTGGAAGTTCTACTGGATCATCTCAGGGGGTCCTAGTTTAAGGGGAATTAAATTATAACTCACAAACGGATGTTGAGGATACTGAGTCCTATTGCACCGGTGAATCCAACTGAAATGCCAAATGTGATTAGAGAGACGAATTTCTATGACGTCATTCGTGTCGATTGTGAAGTAATTTAGTAACTCAGGGAGGGACTCAAATTACTTTAGAACAAATTATGAATTTTAGAATCATTCGACTGTTAAGAATCGAACGTTAAGCTACCGATAGAAGAATTTATATATAAATTCTTCTATCGGTATACTAAGAAATATTATCAAAATTTTAAAAATCTTCTTGATCACAAACTAGGTACTTACATTTAATTGAGCTTGATAATTAAAATAAATTAAAATTAAATAAGACTTACTCGGTATAATTATGTACATAATCTGGTTGAAAGGAATGAAGTTGTCTGCGATGAAGTTTCTCAGACCCATTGGAGTCATGATACCAGCCGCCAGGAAGACTAGTACAACCGTCTAAATTTAATAACATCTTGTTAATATATTATAGTAGGTTAAAATGTAAATCAAGTTATCCTATCAAGTGTATTCAACCCTGCTTCAACATATTTCAACATATTCTCAGTAGATTCGGGCTTAATGGGAGTGGGGTGGATAATTAACTCAATTTCCACCGTAGTATTTTAGCATAAATGGCTCCATAATAATATAAAGGACAATTTTAATTCTAAACGAAAAGCTCGAATAAGCAGAATAAGGCGGAACGTACCACTTGAGCGATATCAAACATCCAGGGAAGGTAAAGGGGGGGGGGTTGGGGTGAGGGGGGTTGGGGTGAGGGGGGGGGAGGTTGGGGGGGGGGGGGGGGGTGAGGGGGGGGGGAGGTTGGGGGGGGGGGGGGGGGGTTGGGGTGAGGGGGCGGGCGGGCAGAACGTACCACTTGAGCGATGTCGAACATCCAGGGAAGGTAAAGGGGGGGGAGGTTGGGGCGTGGGGGGGGGGGGGGGGGGGGTTGGGGTGAGGGGGCGGGCGGGCGGAACGTACCACTTGAGCGATGTCGAACATCCAGGGAAGGTATAGAACTCCTGTGTTATACTTCTCCCAATGGTTAACCCAGAAGTTGAAGGTAAGTGCTAACATGAGGAGTGGAGCAAACATCATTGTGATACCTCCCGTAGCAGGGTTACTTCCAAATACACCTGTAATAGTGTCGTTATTCCGGGGTAATGATTATAATTCTCTGTCGTAATTAATTTAGCAAGGTAATGGATGACGAGAAATCTAAAATTCTCATGTAGTATGATGATGAAAATCTTAAATATACTGCTACAATGAGCCGTTATATATGTATCTACTTAACAAACTTCTTATCGGTCATGTAACCCGGAAAATGTATTGCTGTTAATAGATAAGCAGTGCTATCACTCAGAAATCAACCCAGTTATAATAACAAATTTGAAAATGGGGGGCCAACATTTTTAATTATCTATCCATCACAATCTGATGAGTCAGTTGTTACTGGTGACACGTATGATCCTAGTGGTGGTCGTCGATAACACGCTATATGATGGGGTAAAAGTGGTCTGGGTTTCTTTTCCTTTTCTTAACTTTACACCTGCACTGCTACTTTTGATTACTGAACTTGTCGAGACAATGTTCTTATCTTCTACTGCTACTCATAGTCTCATGTAGTAATGATTAATTGAAATATATAATTTTCAGGATAAACTGATATTTTTTATTTTAAACATTTGACTTTCTAATTTTCTAAGATATAACTTATAGCCACTCTCGTAGCACATACAAGCAGCACAACTGCACTTATCATGAATCACTTCCTCTTATATTTGCAATATACTCTGCAGCTGCTGTACTTGCATCACACATTATAAAACATATTATATCCTACTAGTTTATCCTCTTAAACACGTACCACTTATGTTGGCATGATGTCAGAACATAGCGCAATTTGTATTAATGAAACTTAATACGTTGGATTGGGATCAGCGCATTCTTCTAAGCCACATGGAGTGTTCTAACTTTCTAAATAACAATGATAAGCGCAGTCCGTCGTACAAGAATGTGCTAAATAACACAGTGATAGATAAGAGTAAAGGTATAAAGTGCGGTGTAAAGTGCAGTGTAAATTGCGGTATAGAGTACGGTATAGAGTGCGGTATAGAGTGCGGTGTAAAGTGCGGTGTAAAGTGCGGAGTAAAGTGCGGAGTAAAGTGCGGTGTATAGAGTGCGGTGTAAAATGCGGTATAGAGTGCGGTGTAAAGTGCGGTATAAAGTGCGGTGTAAAGTGCGGTGTAAAGTGCGGTGTAAAATGCGGTATAGAGTGCGGTGTAAAGTGCGGTATAAAGTGCAGTATAAAGTGCGGTGTAAAGTGCGGTATAAAGTGCTGTATAAAGAGCGGTATAGAGTGCGGTATAAAGTGCGGTGTAAAGTGCAGTGTAAAGTGCGGTGTAAAGTGCGGTGTAAAGTGCGGTGTAACGTGCGGTATAAAGTGCAGTGGAAAGTGAGGTGTAAAGTGCGATACTTACTCATAAGAGAGATTGGAAGCATCCACATACAGTTACTATCAATACCGTGGTCCATCAGCTCACCCAGAGGACTTCCAGATCCTGAAATTATGTTATATAAATGATTGTTGATTATTCTGATTTTTTGCGACAAATGATACTGCACTGTTAGGATAAACGACGTTTCAAAGTAACAACTTCGTATTCATGCTGAAATTGTATTATATTTAATTGTAATAGTGAAGCTTTATATTAGAGGCTAAGTAGTGTCAGAACCAACTTTAATCTTGTTTTCCCAGAGTAGTTTCAATAATTGTCCTAAAGTTTGTTGTTTTAATATTTATCCTAATGTTTGTTGTTTGAATTATCCTAAAGTTTGTTTATTAATTCTTGAATATATTGAAAAAAGAGAAGTGGGCCGGGGGGGGGGGGGGGGGGGGGGGGGGGGGCGGGGGGGGGGGGGGCGGGCTGTTTCAGTGGTTATACTTTATATGATTATATTTTAACCTTATTGAAATCCCTGTACCCACTTTACTTATAAAGATATAATTTATAAAGTTATAATTTTGCTTTGATCACAAAACCTAGAGAGCAGATTAGAGAATTCTCAGCTGGATTCCATTGCTATCTGAAGATACCATACTGAAGATGCCAACAATTTGTGAACCGAACATTGAGTAGACACTACTAGACAGTATGTGACACATTGTGTAAACTGATACACCATCTTCAGATGACAGACACATCGTCTACTATACACCTCATTGGTCTGCATGTCTATTATAGACTGTTGAGTTAGCTACTCAAAACTTAATAATTAATTGCGATAGTTAAATGTCCAGATAGTTTAAAACGGATCACTCAATTTTGCAAAATATGTATGTAAGGACCTTAGTGAAGTATAATGAACTGTATACTTGACTTGGTAATCAACAATAAATAAAATGATTACAATAATGATTAAATTACAATTATAAACTCCTTCTTGTTCACTATAATTTGTGTTTATGAACCTGATTCCCTTATCTCACTGGGAGGCCCACTTAGAGGAGTACACAGCTACAGTGTACTATGTATAATGTACATATTGTACTTAGAGGCTCTCAACTATCAGGATCCTTCAGTAGCATCTCACTGTTCCCCTCTGTAATGCTACATACACTGCACAATGTTCAGTACACATCTACAGTACACAGCTACAGTACATATTGTACTTAGAGGCTCTCAATTATCAGGATCCTTAAGAAGCATCTCACTGTTCCCCTCTGTAATGCTACATACACTGCACAATGTTCAGTACACATCTACAGTACACAGCTACAGTACATATTGTACTTAGAGGCTCTCAATTATCAGGATCCTTAAGAAGCATCTCACTGTTCCCCTCTGTAATGCTACATACACTGCACAATGTTCAGTACACATCTACAGTACACAGCTACAGTACATATTGTACTTAGAGGCTCTCAATTATCAGGATCCTTCAGTAGCATCTCACTGTTCCCCTCTGTAATGCTACATACACTGCAAAATGTTCAGTACGCACGGTACACAGTACACAGCTACAGTACATATTGTATACACACTATATACCACACTACTGCAGCAGCATCTCTGCAGCTTTACCTTCACATTGACTAACACAATTTCTACACACATTCTACCCCAGTATTTACCAAAATAACCTAAATACAGGAAGAGAGTTGTATCAGGTGTATTGTGTGGTACACACTACTAGTGACAATACACAACTAGTGCACAATACACTACTAGTGACAATACACTGCTAGTGACAATACACAATACACCCCATTACACAGAACAAAGAGCGACAGAAGAGGAGTGAGTGTTGTGGTCAAGCTGTTCTTTTGATAGGTATTTTAGCTGACTGTTTGTTCTTATTCTTATTCAGGCTGCTTGTTCTGCAGAATGTTGAAATTCTTACTCAGTATATGGATTTTGCAGTGACTCTTATGATGCCTTGAGGTTTACATTATCACTTACAGACCACACAGTTGTCCCAAACATAACATAAAGTATTATGGAGTTTGGTTGTAACATCTATATTATTATAATAGACACATATTAGTTCATGTGCAATCTGATTTCATCACGTTATTATCTATTAGCTTTCAGTTAGAACCAGTAGAAACAAATCTTCGATCTTACAATTCCTCCCGAACTTGCTATTTTACATGACTAGCATGAAAAGGAGAGCAGATTCTCCTCCCAAGAAAATGGACATGAACAAAGTGCTCAAATCTCACCAAGCTTTACTCTCTCAAAACAAGGAGGATCCTGACTTTGTGGAGAGAACTGATAAAATACCTTTCTGTCACACTGTCGGTAAGTACATACTTCACATACCTTTCTGTCACACTGTCGGTAAGTACATACTTCACATACCTTTCTGTCATACTGTCGGTAAGTACATACTTCACATACCTTTATGTCACACTGTCGGTAAGTACATACTTCACATACCTTTCTGTCACACTGTCGGTAAGTACATACTTCACATACCTTTCTGTCACACTGCCGGTAAGTACATACTTCACATACCTTTCTGTCACACTGTCGGTAAGTACATACTTCACATACCTTTCTGTCACACTGTCGGTAAGTACATACTTCACATACCTTTCTGTCACACTGTCGGTAAGTACATACTTCACATACCTTTCTGTCACACTGTCGGTAAGTACATACTTCACATACCTTTCTGTCACACTGCCGGTAAGTACATACTTCACATACCTTTCTGTCACACTGTCGGTAAGTACATACTTCACATACCTTTCTGTCACACTGCCGGTAAGTACATACTTCACATACCTTTCTGTCACACTGTCGGTAAGTACATACTTCACATACCTTTCCGTCACACTGTCAGTAAGTACATACTTCACATACCTTTCTGTCACACTGTCGGTAAGTACATACTTCGCATACCTTTCTGTCACACTGTCGGTAAGTACATACTTCACATACCTTTCTGTCACACTGTCGGTAAGTACATACTTCACATACCTTTATGTCACACTGTCGGTAAGTACATACTTCACATACCTTTCTGTCACACTGTCGGTAAGTACATACTTCACATACCTTTCTGTCACACTGTCGGTAAGTACATACTTCACATACCTTTATGTCACACTGTCGGTAAGTACATACTTCACATACCTTTCTGTCACACTGTCGGTAAGTACAAACTTCACATACCTTTCTGTCACACTGTCGGTAAGTACATACTTCACATACCTTTCTGTCACACTGTCGGTAAGTACATACTTCACATACCTTTCTGTCACACTGTCGGTAAGTACATACTTCACATACCTTTCTGTCACACTGTCGGTAAGTACATACTTCACATACCTTTCTGTCACACTGTCGGTAAGTACATACTTCACATACCTTTCTGTCACACTGTCGGTAAGTACATACTTCACATACCTTTCTGTCACACTGTCAGTAAGTACATACTTCGCACACCTTTCTGTCACACTGTCAGTAAGTACATACTTCACATACCTTTCTGTCACACTGTCGGTAAGTACATATTTCACATACCTTTCTGTCACACTGTCGGTAAGTACATACTTCACATACCTTTCTGTCACACTGTCGGTAAGTACATACTTCACATACCTTTCTGTCACACTGTCGGTAAGTTCCTACTATTGGCCGATAACATCTTCCTTTTAATCGTGGTACGACCACGCTACGCAGATTAATTAACTGAGCCATAACATCTCAATGTTAAACCTACAAAATATAAAAATGTTGGTATCTCGCAGGAGAAGACGGAATGATTTACCCTCAATACAACTATCACGGAGGGAGATGGGTGGATAGAATAAAGTCATGTGACCAGTTCGTGGCTAGACCAGACGACCTCTTTATCTGCTGTGTTCCCAGATCAGGTAGTTTGTGAATCACGTGTTTGTTCTGACACGTGGGGGGTTTGTTCTGACACGTGGGGGGTTTGTTCTGACACGTGGGGTGTTTGTTCTGACACGTGGGGTGTTTGTTCTGACACGTGGGGTGTTTGTTCTGACACGTGGGGTGTTTGTTCTGACACGTGGGGTGTTTGTTCTGACACGTGGGGTGTTTGTTCTGTCACGTGTTCTAAGAATATTATTTTCCTCATTCATTATAGTCCTTTTGTTACTGTTTTAATATTCGTATGCCATATTAAATATCTCAATGGTGTAAGCCAAACACATGAATCTCTACAAACTAAATTCTAATGAGTTTTTTGTGAACTCCACTGTAACAGAAACATAACATATTGTTACAAACTAGCCCATGTAAGGTTTTTTTTTTCTGGGTGCCACAGACCCACCCAATGGTGCTGACTTTTTTGGGTTAAAGACCCACTTTTCCATTGAATGTGGCTCGCTGGCTGAGCTTCGCTCGCAGTAACTTTTTTCGCAAATTTTTTAATCCAATTTTTTGAACTTTCCCTATCAACAATGCAATCTTAGAGATTGGACTAATAATTTAGGACTTGAAGTTGATGACCTTCTTCCGTCAGAATAATTATATGTACTATTCATATATGCAATATTCCACCACATTTTGGTTGATAATTTGATTTCAAAAGTCCACTCATACATATGTGGAAAACTTACAAATACCTCTTAAAATGCTGGCTTTATACTTATAGTATAAAGATGTAGGTATAGGTCAGGGACGTAGCCAGGTTTTTTAATCCAGCTGCGCAGCGAGCGAAGCGAGCAAGCTGTGGCAGGGGTCTGGGGGGCGCAGCCCCCTGGAAAATTTTTGCGAAACAGGGTGTTTTAGACGACATTTGGCATTAAAGAAATTTGTAGGACAGCAATAAACTGGGATTGAAAAGAATCAAGTACTCACGTAAAGTTGGTAACTTCACAACAGCAATCTGCATTCTCCAATCAGAATTTACGACTTACTCAGGCCTCATCGTCTTAAAATTTTTACATTTCCTACGGTCTAGGGGACACTATTGACTATTTATAGAAGTCTTCTAGAATGTTTGCTTGGATGTTATGACAGATATTTACTAATGACTAATCCACAGTTCAAATCTTTGACTGACTGCAGTCATAAACACAGCCCAGTTACCAGGCGACCATGGGGGAGTAGACACACAGTTGATAACAACAGACCTACTATCAATATCAACAGACCCACTATTTCATCTTACAGACCCACAAGTCAATCCACAGACCCATTTCAGAGTAGCAAAGACCCACTATTAAGCGAGTAGACACACACTTAATATCAACAGACCCGCTATCAATATCAACAGGCCCACTATTTCATCTTACAGACCTTAAGTCAATCTACAGACCCATTTCAGATTAGCAAAGACCCACTATTAAGCGAGTAGACACACAGTTGATAACAACAGACCTACTATCAATATCAACAGACCCACTATTTCATCTTACAGACCCACAAGTCAATCCACAGACCCATTTCAGAGTAGCAAAGACCCACTATTAAGCAAGTAGACACACACTTAATAAAAATAGGCCCACTATTTGACCTTAGAGACCCACTGCCAATAATAACAGACCCACTTTGTAACCTTACAGACCCACAAATAAATCTACAGACCCATTTCAGAGTAGCAAAGGCCCACTATTAAGCGAGTAGACACACACTTAATAACAACAGACCCACTATCAATATCAACAGGCTCACTATTTCATCTTACAGACCCACAAGTCAATCTACAGACCCATTTCAGAGTAGCAAAGACCCACTATTAAGCGAGTAGACACACACTTAATAACAACAGACCCACTATCAATATCAACAGACCCACTATTTCATCTTACAGACCCACAAGTCAATCTACAGACCCATTTCAGAGTAGCAAAGACCCACTATTAAGCGAGTAGACACACACTTAATAACAACAGACCCACTATCAATATCAACAGGCCCACTATTTCATCTTACAGACCGACAAGTCAATCTACAGACCCATTTCAGAGTAGCAAAGACCCACTATTAAGCGAGTAGACACACACTTAATAACAACAGACCCACTATCAATATCAACAGACCCACTATTCCACCTTATAGAGTATAGACCCATGTAAGTAAGTCTACACTATAATAAAACACATCCAAGCTATCAACAGGCCCACTATTAACCATGGTCAATTCAATCCTAACCTCACCCCCCCCCCCCCCCCCCCCCCAAGAAAATATGTTTTTTTTTTCGTTTCAGCCAATTTTAATTTTTCGATGAAAAAATTTGAGGCAAGGGTGCTGGCACCCTTGGCACCCTATAAAAAAAAACCTTAAGCCCATGTTCGTAACTTGGACATGTAAACCACAGACTTCACAGTGTCACAGTGTGTCACAGTGTTTCACAGTGTGTCACAGTGTGTCACTTGTCACAGTGTGTCAATTGTCACGTGTCACAGTGTGTCACAGTGTGTCACTTGTCACAGTGTGTCACTTGTCACGTGTTACAAGTAGATATAATATAAGTAAAGTCCTCGTCACTTGTTTGGTATGATATAAGTAAAGTTCTCGTCACTTAATTAAACCAGTAGCGGTCGCCGTTCCGCAAGTGCTGTGGGTAATTTGAGTACGTTGAGTACGTTGAGTGCTAAATTTTGTACAGTTCCCCAGGTTTATGATATAATGAATAATTTATTTGGGTCTTTAAGAATCGTTCAGAGCATGGTACATGTGTTTGTAAGATAAATATTACCCATTGAAGCTAATAGCTTTCAAAGTTCTTATTGTATGGAATTATACATATGAAGCAAGTAGAGGAATCCACCCTTCGAATGTATATGAGTCGTTATTTCATGTTGAACCCTGATGGGTAACTTTGATAGTTGATATTAGATCATCAGAAGCATCCACTCAGTGCCTACTATAGTAATCACGTGAGCATATTCCTTGCTGTATAGCACATTATTTCATGCGGAATAGCGTGTTAGCCCATGATAATTTCGTCACAGATCAAACTTAACACACCCTATAGAGTTAAGCTATGATAACGTCGTACTGAGGTACACTAAAATTCAATATAAATAGAGGGCTCTTTCCCTCCCTCCCACATTTCTTATTTGCTCCATTCTACACAGAGCTGCCGATCTTAAAGACCTCTAACGAGTTGATGATCTTTAGGGACCTACTCTCTCTCTCTCCCTCTCAGATCTCTATATGTTGCAGTGGAAGCTCTTCTTACCTCTTTATCAGAAGAGTGGAGAAGTTTGAGGACATAGCCATAGCTTTCTTAACCATTAACTTCTCTAGATTTTGTTAAAACTAAAACATTAACTTTACGTGAGTTGATCTATTTCATAAGTTTTAAAAAATTCACCGGACAAGGAGTTCTTGCAATGATAATAATTTTTGCTCTAAGAATTCTAATACAGATAACTCATATTTTTACAAGTTTTTATTTCAAATAAATTCATACGAGAAGGAGTTGTGTGCTACAGCGTTTTCAGGATGCTGCAGTGTTTTCAGGAAACTGCAGTGTTTTCAGTAAACACAAATATAAATCTAGAAGGAGCGAACGAGCTGGCTAGTGACCGCAAGCAGTGGAGAAAGATGATAGTACGACACAAACGAGAGTTCATTATTGATGCAGATCACTCGAATGATTGATGAGAGCTGATCAAGTTGAAGTACAAGTGAGTAAGTTGTGAGTTGTTTGCGAGCTCAGCAGTATAAAGCTCTGATAAACCCAACTTACACCTCACCTATAAACTTATATTCTAACTATTTTATATCTTATTTATCTACAATTCAGCTAGATTTTATCTTTCTAACCTTCCAAAAGGTTAAAAATGTCATATGTTGCTCATATCAATCTATCAGCCCTATGCTACAGCAAAATTGTTGATACTTGAAGCTTAAATATTTACGTTTACAAAACTCAAACATATTTAAAAATTGCTGTGATATGGTTGATGCTAACGGTTCGTTAAGAGAGATCTAAGCCCATCTCCAGTGTCATGAGTTAGCTATATCACAAATTGGGGTTGGCTCTCAAGAAAAGACGGAATCAGGAGAGCATTCTCTCCACCCGTGTCAATGTATGTGGGGACTCCCACTAAAATGAGTTATGTTACGTACAGCGATGATGTTAGAGACCTTCTCTATATCCATCTCTAATATACTGAAGTACTAAGTGCTGTCCTCACTCTCTATCAGAGGAGAGGTCTGAGGACACAACTCTGTTAATCATAGTTTGCGTTTACAAAACTCAAAAATATTTAAAAATTGCTGTGATATGGTTGATGCTAACGACTCGTTAAGAGAGATCTAAGCCCATCTCCAGTGTCATGAGTCAGCTATATCACAGATTGGGGTTGGCTCTCAAGAAAAGACGGAATCAGGAGAGCATTCTCTCCACCCGTGTCAAATGTATGTGGGGACTCCCACTAAAATGTGTTATGTAACGTACAGCGATGATCTTAGAGTTAGAGACCTTTTCATGTCCAATCTGTAATTATACACTAGGTGCTAGTTTCACTCTATCAGAGTAGAAGTCTAGAAGGATAAAACTATGATAATTATAGTTCACTGTAACGTTAGTATACCAAGTTTAGAAAACAAACAAGTGATACACAGTGTTTAATGATGAAGCTAAACAAATATCAAGTACACATCATAAAATAAAATGTAATATTTCACATGCGTTAGGTCAAAAGAGCAAGTTAGTGTTTAATTCATAATCTAAATCCATCAAGTCTTTGAGTCAAATATCTAGCTTTTGCAAGAGAACAGTATCTGTAGCGATGTAACTTAAAACAGCTCGGATTATCGAGTTGTGTTGGGTAATTGAAGTCAAACAGAGAATAAACATCAATAACTTCAGTATCTGGTAGGTTTCTAGCAAAGAAACAACGTTCATTTTCCCCTGCGCAGTAAATTCTACAATGCTGTATCTCTTCAA